CTATTGGAGTTCTATCTTCAATAGCTTGTGTGTGGTGCGCATAGGCCCTATGCACAGGTGCTCGATCTCTCTGGAGACGATTGTAAGTAGGAACGGAACACTAGGAGTATGACTGGTGACTGATACGCTCTCGTCTACGAAAGCATTTGGATCAGATAACGTTCGCTCTCTACCAAGACGCTGAGTTGATGACGCGAGCTCTGACCATTTGAATTTTAACTGTGGGGAGTCATCCGATGATGGCGGTCAGCGTCCTAGATGAATTTAAGTCGGTCACATAATCCAACTGTTGCAACGTGTTCTTACATTGTCGCATATCGCCGGCAAGTTTCATAAAGTCTGTCGGATCCATAGCTCTTAAAACTGGACCATCAACCAAATTATCGATGTGAGCCCTGGCGATTAAATGAGGTTGCCCGAACCGGCGTCTGAGAATCTTAAGAGCCTCCGAGTACCCCTCGCTAGGCTCTAGGATCGAACAGCTCTCAATAGCGGCTCTGGCCTCATTTCGACAATGGTTGATCAGGTAGGAAATTCGGCTTTCGTCCTCCCCAAATTGCTAGCTATACCACTTTCAAAGCCTCTTAGAAAGAGCCAGTATTTCAGAGGATTTCCGTCGAAATGCATAATTTCGCGCTGTGGTAGGGCAAAATTTCGATGCATGGGGCGTGGATACTCGCCGACAATCCCCCGTTTTCGCGGAGGCGGAGACATTTTCGTAGTAATTGTCGACTGCCTTAATAATTTTTCGAGGGTGGCGATTCTTTTCCTGTAATTCTCGAGAATAGCCTCGTTTTCTTCTGAATGCTGGTAGTATTTGTTCAGCTCAGGTTCAGACGATGATCGTTGATACTCGTCCATTCGTTGGGTACTTTGTGTAACTGTAGAATTTTGTCGGATTCTATAATTAACCAGATGCTTAAGGCCGGTCTGGTTCTTACTTTTTAACTTGTGTAGACGCGACTTCCATTCGTGTAAATCGATAACTGTATCGTGTAGATGAAAACGAATCTGTAATTGGAAATTAGAAAAAACATAAATAGTACTCTTACACAAATGTTTCCAAGTCTGGAAGTAGCGAGATAATGTAAGTTTTTGCGAGATAGATATAGGAAATTTAAACAAATAAGAAGGGGTTGGGAAAATAAAAGGGGGCGTAATCAATCAAAAAGGGGGACCATCAATTATAGGATAAACAGTATGGTGTAAACTAATATAAAGTGTCAAGTAATTGGCGTTAACGACAATGCCAAAGTTAAGGTAATGCGTCTAGTGTTAGAAGATCGCAGATGGTTATTTTACTGTTAAATGGAGGGGAGTGGAGTACCTACGGAAGGACGTACAATCATCATCATCATC